GTATTGAGTGCATAACTGAACATGATTATTTGAAGGTTGGTGTTTTTTGTATTAAAAACACTTGTCTTTCATTGGTGGGATGAAATATGCAAATTTTTTGGGACAGGCATTTTGGGTTTTCATGAGCTGTATGCCATAATCATCAGTATTAAAACAATTAAAGACCTGAAATATTTCAGTTGGTGTGCAATGAATCTGAAATAAATGAAAGTTTCATTTTTATCATTACATTATGGAAAATTATGACCTTTATCACAATATGCTAATTTTTTGGGACAGGCATTTTGGGTTTTCATGAGCTGTATGCCATAATCATCAGTATTAAAACAATTAAAGACCTGAAATATTTCAGTTGGTGTGCAATGAATCTGAAATATATGAAAGTTTCATTTTTATCATTACATTATGGAAAATTATGACCTTTATCACAATATGCTAATTTTTTGAGAAGGACCTGTATGAGTCTAAGCAATCAGTAACTTAAAGTGTTTGCATACAAAACTAACAGGACGTTACTGCAGTACCTGTATGTTCTCATAGTGTAACTGGTTGTGTAGTGTAACTGGTTGCGCAGTGTAACTGGTTGTAGTTGAGTCGGCCGTTTCTTTCGTACAAACTGTTCAGCCCGATGGGAGCTCAGTCCAAATGTGTTTCCTCAGGTTCTTCCTCGCCGTGCTCATGGTCGCACTGATGAGCAGACCCTGCAGACTCACACACCGACTCCTGGGTGTCCTCGACCGCCTGAGTGGGGCAGCCGTCTGCATGCGTCTCGTTGGGGACGAGGTCGACGGGAGACGGGCAGGGAGGCTCGTCTGCAGGAGAGACGAGGGACTCCTCAGGTACAGCTGCCCTGCTGCTGGCTTCACTAAGGAAGCTGTGATGATGTGCAGACTCTGAGACCAGGTGAGGTGTTTCTGCTGAAGGACCACCTGTATCAGGGGAGGCGTGAGCAGCAGAGAGGTCTTGGGCTGACTGGGAGACTGGCTCCAGCGGCTCAGCCTGGTTCTCTGATGAAGAGAGCAGGACGCTGGCCCCCAGCTCTGCTGCACGACCAGAAATCAGAATAAAGTTCACGCAATCTCGTTTTTCTTCCAGTGCGTCGTTTTCTCACATCTTGACTGAGTTTACTCACCAACGCCAGACATTTCACTCTCCTTCTCCTCCTGCATAGCCAGTGAAGTGTTGGTCATATCGATGGATGAGGTGGACAGGTCCAGCTTGTCCATCAGATCTGAGGGCTCAGGGTTCATTGCTGTCACTTCAGAATCTGAAAAAGACAGCACTGCACACATAATGAGGGGTTTCCATGAATCCTGATGGATTACTGCAAACATACAGCATCAGTGAATCCTTCTACTGAAAACTGACCGGGGTCCATGACCCTCTGAATGGGAGGGGGCAGAGACGCTTCTTGGAGGGTGATCTGCTCCACATCTAACAAATCTTCACTTTGACTTGAAGACGTCATCAGAGGTGCCTGGAGAAGAACAGACGGTGGAGCTGAATAAGCATGGCTTCTTTTTCCGCTCTATTCTTGTTCATTCTTTAAAAATAACAGAATTTAACACTGGAGACAAGATCTTTTCTTGGTTTTACAAACTTTCTGACGTCCTGAAGTGAGTAGCTCTGACAGCAGCACCTACCTCTGAGTATCCGTGCTGTGGCTGCTGTGGAGACGGTTCCTCTTCTGGAACAGGGGTGGCGGGCTTCACCGTCGATACGTCAGGGTTTGCAGGGATGCGGTGCAGGTATCCATAACCGATGCCACAACCCAAGCTACAAAACAAATTCAAATGCTTCATAAATAACAAAGCAGTAATAGTTAATACTCGAGACATACCGTGTGGATATATATAGAGTAAGTACAGAGGACTAACAACACTGCAGAGATAAGTTTGTTATAAAGAAAATAATCTGTCTGCACATACATCATGTAGCAATAAACCTTATTAAGTCCAAACAGTCCTAGGACACGAGTATAGCACTAATAAAGAAGACATTCTGCTTTATCCTGATGCATGCTCAATAATCCAGGTAGAAAAATCTAAAAAAGTTAAATCTGGTCCTCTGGACATTCAAAAAAACAAAACAAAGCAAATCAACAAAAAATGTAGAAACGTTTCGTCTCTCATCCGAGAGACTTCCTCAGTCTGAGGTGCTGTATTCAGCTCAGTCTCTTAAATAGCACCTTCTCAGGGTGGATCAACCAGTTTTGCTGCTGACAACCAAAACCAGCTGATCACATGCTCAAGAAGGACCATCAGCCTAACAATGGATCATTAGCACACTGATGGCTGTTTACTATTCACAGAGGGCTGAGTGATACTAGCAATCACAGCATTGTAAGAGGGGGACAGTTGAACCCGGAGGCCTCCACCCCTGTTTAATGATGGACGATTTCTTTTCACAAAGATGGCCTCCTTTACTCCTCTCTCAAACCATCGTTCCTCTCTATCCAGGATGTGAACATCTTCATCCCTGAAAGAGTGACCGCTGGCCTGGAGATGAGTGTAGACCGCAGAGTCCTGGCCTGATGATGTTGATCTTCTGTGCTGGGCCATCCTTTTGGCCAGTGGCTGTTTTGTTTCCCCGATGTAAGACTGATCACAGCCCTCCTGACACTGAACAGCATACACAACATTACTCTGTTTGTGCCGGGGGACTGGATCTTTGGGATGAACCAGTCTTTGCTGTAATGTATTTTGGGGTTTAAAAGCCACTGGGACGTTATGTTTAGAAAATAAACGTCTCAGTTTCTCTGATACTCCCTCAACATATGGAATGACCACTGGTCTGGGTCTGGGTTCCTCCTTTTCACCTGTTGGCTGACTGGAGTCCTGTTTGGGTTTCTTCTCTGCTTTCAGGAAGGCCCAGTTAGGATATCCACATTGCTCTAGAGCCTGTCTTGTGTGGGATTTCTCCTTCTGCCTGGCTCCTGAGTTAGTGGGGACGCTGTCTGCTCTGTGATATAGAGTCCTGATGACTCCTAACTTGTGCTCCAAAGGGTGATGGGAGTCAAACTGCAAATACTGGTCTGTGTGGGTGGGTTTGCGGTACACCTCAGTTTGCAAATGTCCTCTATCAGAGACTGAGACCTCACAGTCCAAGAAAGCCAACCTGTCATTTTTTACATCTTCTCGTGTGAACTTGATGTATTTATCCACAGAGTTGATGTGGTCAGTAAAATGTTGGACTTCCTGAGATTTAATTTTAACCCAGGTGTCGTCAACATACCTGAACCAATGACTTGGTGTTGTCCCTGAACGTCCTTTTCAGGGACACCATTTATGAGCACGTGACGGGCCACCAGTTGTAGATGAACAGATGCTGGGATATATTCATCATTTAACGCGAGTTCCTCATTTTTCTGGACTGAATAAAACGTGCACTGAATTTAAGGAAATGCAAAGTGAGACGTCATTTAAATTTGACCCATCAAAATGAATGCGGTCATTTATTTACAGAATCAAATTTAACATCAAACATTTACATTAATTTGGCAAATTATGAAAATAACAATATAAGCAATCAATCAGGAAAAATCATACGGCCATGATTTTTCCGTTGCTGCACCACAGACATGTATAAAACTGTACAACTATGACTTTTACCCACACGGATGTGAATAAGCACTTTACACAGACATTTCTAAATATCTGGGAGAATTTCTACTTCATAGGAAAGTTTAAAGATGGAAAGAAGTTTAGAGGGAGTAAAGGATGGTGTGTGAGGGAAATTAAGTGTTTTCCAGAACCGACACTCTCCATCAGAAGCCCAGCTCGCCTCGGTACGCTTGGTAGGAAACTTGACCCATTACCTCTCTGATGATAATCAGCAGATATGGTGTTCCGTTAACGCTACCGGTCCAGCGTCTCCTTAGAATGGCTGTTGCCCGTCAGAAGTAGTGGCGAGGCTCTGTTCGACACACATTCACCTCAGTGGAAAATGTTATAATCCCATGGAACTCGGAAGAGCTTTGTTGTCATGTCAGGAACTCCAACAGCACTCCATCAGAACTCCCGAACTCTAGAAGTCTGACAACTCTCCAACTCCGTGAACTCTGTAACTCCGTGAGTCGTAAGTCACTCTGTGAGTACCTGTGAGTCCGTCTGCATACCTGTGAGTCCGTGTAGACCAGGAAGTATTGACATTTTAAAGACTCTTTCCCGGTTCACTTTTTGGGATTTTTCATTGGTCAGAAACGACCAGAAGGGGTGTGTTTTTGTGACGTAAGGGGTTAGAGACAGCGAGAATTGTTATGAGACAGCTCAGAAATGTTCTCACAGACCGAGAGGGTTCTGTTTTGGCGTGCCTAAGACACAGGTGCAAAACATCTCTATTTACGTCCGAGAGGATTCTAAAACATGACAGTTTTAACATAACAACTTGTGTTTCGTTTGACTGTAACCTTGTAACCGCACACACTTGCTCATGCAAAAGCAGAGTAATAAAAAATGCATAATTTCTCTGCAACAGCTTTTAACATGAGAATAAAAATCATTACTCAGTTAATAAAATTGATTAGTTCACTGCAACATCTAAAATGGTTTGAACTAAGACACTTTGATTATCAACATTTGTAAGATAGTAATGATAATAAAAAGAGAGTGTTCTTTTCTGCTTGATTAATTCAAGAAAGAAAGTCATCAGATGGCCCAGACTTATTCAGATCAAGGAAAATAACAGTCTCTGTCCATCTGGTAGATTTGAGGTCATCTGGTTCACTACACCATCTTTGTGAAAAGAAATCGTCCATCATTAAACAGGGGTGGAGGCCTCCGGGTTCAACTGTCCCCCTCTTACAATGCTGTGATTGCTAGTATCACTCAGCCCTCTGTGAACAGTAAACAGCCATCAGTGTGCTAATGATCCATTGTTAGGCTGATGGTCCTTCTTGAGCATGTGATCAGCTGGTTTTGGTTGTCAGCAGCAAAACTGGTTGATCCACCCTGAGATGGTGCTATTTAAGAGGCTGAGCTGAAAACAGCACCTCAGACTGAGGAAGTCTCTCGGATGAGAGACGAAACGTTTCTACATTTTTTGTTGATTTGCTTTGTTTTGTTTTTTTGAATGTCCAGAGGACCAGATTTAACTTTTTTAGACATTCTGCTTTAATCGATTGCTCTTTGCCTCATACCTGCCCTCTCCTCCCCACGCTCCGTTGGGCGTCACCATCACCTCTCTGCAGGTATCCGTTTGTGTGTTGTACACCAGCAGCTTCAGCGGCTTCCCCTCATGGGCCTCAATCAGCGAGAAGAAGTCTTCTGACTGCGAAGAGTGATTGTTCTTTACACATACACTAACTGGTGCACATCCCAACTGTTTATTTGCCTTGTTTTAAGTAATAAATGTTTATGGTTAATTGTAGAGCGCAGAGGAAGTGATGATGAGCTGATTTTAAATTAATCTTACGTCTTGCAACACCTGATCTGCTCCAACAATATAGTCACTGTGGGGCTGAAGTCCTGCCAGCGCTGCTGGTGAGCTGGCTTCTACATCCTTAAGAAAGACGCTTGAGTTAAAGTGCTAATCCAGCACGAAACTATCATCTGTTCAAGCTCATTAGAAACAATATGAAAGCAGAGAGGAGTCTTTCAGGTTCTTTGATGACTCACCAGTACATGCCAAATGTTCTCATTTGCTCCTTGGTAGCTGCAGAATCGAACACTGGCCCCCAGCAGCCCCTGGCCGCCCCACATGTTATTGGGCACCACGTCCAGCTCACGGACCCTCGTGGTTTTAGTGCTGTACACCTCCATCCTCACTGCCTTCTCCACGCTGGCTTTCAGGAGCTCCTTCAACTGGTCATTATCCTCATTCTGGAAAAAATAACCCCATAAAAATGTCAAAACAGATTAACGAAGCAGCAATGCATGCTCTTTTTTATCCACTTTCTAATTTCACTTGTAGATCTGTATGAACTCGTTTAGGCTTAAAATCAACAAGTCTTACAAGTCTTTTGTTGTCCAGAGAAAGAATGAAGTCGAAGAAAGGCTGCAGTCCTGCCTTTTCTGCGGGGGAATTAGGCTGCACCTGCCAAAACAAACACACAATACTTCATAAGACTGCTAAAACTTCACCTCTGCATGCAGCTGTTTCTGTACAACACAGAAAGAGCAATCGAAAAATGTTCGACAGAAAGACATCTTCCTCCATGTGACATTATGAGTCAGTTACATTATTTATACTTAGATTAAACAACTTTAAATAGGCTGCCTTTTTAAGAAACTCAGAGTTGTTTGACAGCAGTCCTGTTTAAAATGACAAAGGTTGATATTTTCAGTCTTTCAGGAAACAAATCTTGTTATTTAGTAGAAGTGTTACACACATCCAGTGATAACATGATTACAACATGGACGCTTTAGTTTGAGATTATTTCTTACAAATTAGGGAGACAAACAGAAGTTTTTGATCTCTAACTGTGTCCCCTCGTTGGCAGGTAAATAGTGCCACCTCATCAGGTTTAGTCTGCTACAACCCAGCTAGCTGTTAGCTGCTAGCAACATGTCAGATAAGCTGCTCCGGGTTCAAAACGGAGTAACTCCGTCAGCCTTACGCCGTGCACGTGATATCCGTACGTCCCTCCTTCAGATGTTTCTGAACTCTGTGATAAACCCATTTCTTAAACAAAAATAAGTGTTTTACACAATTATTTAAAAATAATCAATGACGACAACAAAACAGCTACGATCATCTCGTTAACAGCCTACATCAATCGAGCGTCGAGCATATCGAGCACGAACTCAAATGCTGCACATGCGCAAACTAACCGTTCTTCTGTGTAGCCACTAGAGGGCGAGAGAAGCTCGTAACGTTTATGTCCGGATGAAGGACGAAACGTCTCAGGAACCCCCCCCCCAAAAAAACCGTCCAGATGATGTGACTGAACATTGTTGGATTTTATACCTAGATTATTGAGCATGAACTTTGATGTTTTGGAAGGGACAAACGCATCGAAACACCCCCCCACCACCACCAAAAAAAACAAACAACAAAAACAGGAGGATCTGCAGTGGAAGGGGTCTCCAGTTACAAGTACTTGGGTGTGCACCTGAGTAACAACCTCACCTGGGGCAACAACACTTCCAGTCTGATCAAGAAAGCTCATCAGAGACTCTACTTCTTCAGACGGTACAAGTGTGAAGTGGAGAGCATCCTGTGCTCCAGCATCAACATGTGGCATGGAGGTTGCACAGCTAGAGAGAGGAAAGCTTTGCAGAAAGTGCTGAAGGCTGCACAGAAGTTTATTGGAGTCGGTCTCCCCACCATCAGACATTTACACCTCCAGATGCAGGAAGAGAGCCACCTGCATCATGAAGGACCCCACTCACCCAGCACACACATGCCCTGCTCCCCTCAGGCAGGAGGTTAAGGAGCATTAAGTGACTGAAGAGCAGCTTCTATCCTGAAGCTGTTAGACTCCATCCATCCATCCATCCATCCATCCATCCATCCATCCATCCATCC